GTGCTGTGTGACGGCTCGGGTTCAGTGCTTAGCACCGACTCTTTCCAGAAAGAGGACACACCTGTGCTTGTTCCATTTAAGAGGTGAGACTGTTTCATTGACTGTATTTTCTCACTGCATACTTGCTTTGTCCTCCCCAGGAATGCAGGTGGCTATCACAGAATCATAGAATTGTAGGGGTTGGAATGGACCTTATGGATCATCTGGTCCCAACCCCCTGCCATGGGCAGGGACACCTCCCCACTAGGTCAGGTTGCTCAAGACTTCATCCAGCCTGGCTTTGAACACTGCCAGGGTTGGGGCTTCTACTGCCTCCCTGGGCAACCTGTGCCAGTGTCTCACACACTCACAGTAAAAGTCTTCTCCTAATCTCTAACCTAAATTCCCCTCTTTCATGGCAACCTGTGCCAGTGTCTCACACACTCACAGTAAAAGTCTTCTCCTAATCTCTAACCTAAATTCCCCTCTTTCATTTTATACCTCCCTTGTCCTGTCATTGCAGCTCCTAAAGAGAGTCCCTCTCCAGCTCCCCTGTAGCCCCTTCAGATCCTGATAGGCTGCTATGAGGTCTCCACGCAGACTTCTCCAGGCTGAATAGTCCCAGCTTCCTCAGCCTGTCTTCACAGGGGAGGTGCTCCAGTCCTCTTATGCTTTTGCATGTCCCAAAGGACCATCAGAGAAAGTCTTTCAGAGATTAGCCAGAAAGGATATTCTGGTGTGGGAAAAGAGTAGAGCAGCATCCTCCATCACCGTGGTTATTGTTGTGCAGCAGGTGTTGACATGTCCTCTGTTTTCAGTCCACATCAGCAAATAGGCTCTACTTAAACACCATCCCAGAAGATGAGGACATAGAAGCTAATAAAGCAATTCTTGTTCCCCTATCCTGTTTTTGAGGCAAGGCAGAGTAACACTTTTTTTTATAGCTGGGAGATAGAGTCAATGATTCACATAATATCATACTTGCTTTCTAATTTACCAAAAGGAGGAACTGACACGCTGAAGGTATGCAGCTTGTCATATCTGGAGAAGAGGGGAAACTGTTGTACCAACAGTGTTCACCACTTCTGAGGAAGACGGACAGTTGCATGGCCGTGTTTCTTCCCCTTGTGACAGCAGTGCTGTCTTCCAGGTAGTAAAGTCATGTGCAGACAGTAAAATCTCCTCAGTTTAGACATTTTGGGGCTGAGAATGGCAGGTTTCCCTTCCTTTGGATAGTAGGTGAGAAAGTGCCTGGAGTAACACCTTTTCTTGTCCGTTTTGCAAGAAACTGACAAGAATAAACATTACTTACGAATAGAATAAACATTACTTACAAGTTACTTAACGTTAACTACAGATCCTTGTTAGATAAAGAAAAAATTATTTTCTTGTGAAGAGCTTATGACACTTTTTATAAAAACATATATTCCTGGAAAGTTGACATGTTCACCAAAAGGATTAGTATAAACTCTCTAGTAGGAGAAACATTCTTGTTTGATACTGTGTTTGTTTGCAGGGCGAGAGTCTGCTGAATAAGCTACTGCTTGGCATTTGATTTATAATGAAATGATTGTTGCTCTTCATTGCATATTGCCCAGATCTCTGGAATACAAAGCAAAATCCAAGAAATTCTGAATAATAGATGGATATTTGCATGGCTGCATGTCACAGTGGTCAGTGCCATCTTGCTTTGTTTGCAATTGCTCTGAATCTTTCTGGAATTTATTGGCTTAGTCTTAGAATTCAGTCTCTTTGGGACAGAGATTCTCTTCTGTGTTTGTTTTTGGAACACATGCAACCAAGTGGTCTTGGTCCCTAACAAAAGTCTTTAGTTGTTCCAAACCCAGAAACACAGTAACAGATTGCAGATTTGATTTTAAGCCTGATTTGACTAGTTCTAAATTACAAATGCCATCCAGCATCTGTTTGGTGCTAAATGAATTAGTTGAGTTTGGTTCTTGTCACAGAAAGTAATCCTTGTGATTGAAGTATTTGCATTTTTTTGATAATAGTAGTAGTGATGTCAGACATCAGTTTGTGTATTGGAAATTGGCATATGTTTATCTTGTAAAAGAAATTTCTAGCACTTGGCAGAGTAACATAGGTCAGTAGAGAACAGAGATTATTGATGTAATTAATTTTTCAGACATTCACATTTTAAGAGCATGATTTGTAAATTATTTAAGGTGTATCATAAAATGTGACTGCTAGAGTGGTACAGCACGAATGAAATTTTTTGCTGAGGATGAGTACTAGTGTGGCAGTCTTGTTTAAACCATGCTTGTGATGTCTGCTCTTCGGGGTGAGTACATTTTAGTTGTGACCATGGAGGATCTTAGGATGCATGTTATAGGCCTGAACAACTCTTACTTTTTTATCCTTTACTTTTAAAATGTGCATGCTGATAATGTATTAATTTTTATTTTTTTAAGATGCTTCATGCTGAAAATAGAGTAAGGCTCTTGGAATGTCAGGATGAAATCAAAATTGAACCATGTTCTAAAAGAATGAAGTCAACAGAAGGGTCTTATGAGAAACTCTGTGATGATGATTTCCAAGGTTTTCAGGAGGAAGTGACTGCTGAGAGAACATCAAGTGGTTGGGTATCAGCATATGCCTCAGATAACCAAGGGCAGCATGAAATGCAGAAGCAAGAGATTATACCTGCTGGTGTCTTGGGAGCATTGAATGAAGTTCTCCCTGAAAATAATCTAGTGCTTAGTCAGCCATTTGATTCAGAATCTCTGCAGAGTGTGAATCTTCCATTTGCATCAATAAATGACCCTAAAGTTGAAGACAATAAAGAGCCTTTTATTACAAATAATTCTGGTGAAGATAATACTAAAAATAGCAGTACATCATGCTCAGTAAATAGAAATGCATCAGATGAAGATTTTTTTACGAGCAAAGAATTTATAGGGCCTATTTACAAGCCTGTGGAAAATAACAAACAGGACAAATCTGGCAGTTGCGGTGAATGTAGAAGCAGTGGGGAAGAGGAATTACATGAGAACAGACCTAAAAGAAAGGAGGCAAAGAAGACAGAGGCTATTTCTGCCACTGTACCAGAAATAGATGATGAACTGGACCAGTTTTATAAAGAAATTCACCAGCTGGAAAATGAAAATTTAGATGCTGATCTTCAGGAAAAGGAAACTGAAATTCCTCAGGAAGAACACTCTCTATATAACTGTAGTCAAAGTTCTCAAGAGGATTATCAGCATGTATTGTTGGGCAGCCCACAGCCATTTTATGAGAATGGACAGTGTTATTGGGGGGAACAGAACAATCAGAGAACAAGCAATGAGCAGCAGTTTGTGGTGGAAACAGGTGCCTGGAAAACTGAAAGTACCTTTCATGGCCAAGAAAATTCTACATACTGGAACTGCTCAGTGCCTGAATTCAGACCTGCTTGGCAAACAAGAGAGTCTTTCACAGTACCTCAGGGACCTCTTCCTCTTAGATACAGTCATCAATCACATTTTCAGATACTTAATTCCCTACCACAAAAAACAAATGCTCTCCCTTCTCAGAAAGGGGAACTTTCTTTTGAAAATTATCATAGTTACTGTGGAAATTCTGATACGAACAGTCACGGTTCATTGCTTGATCAAAATATCAGCTATGCCGGTCATACTGACATCCATACTCACAGTGGCATCCATACTGCTCAGGTCTTCAGAAGTGGAAATAATGACCAGAGTGGACTCCAGAATAATGGTTTCTGTGAAACCAGAAGAGAGTGCTGGAAGGATCCAAAAGGTGGCAATACAGAAGGAATGCACAGCTTTTCTTCCTTGCAGTTACCTGAAGAAAGATTCAGTTGTTCAACAAAATTGCTTATACTTTTAAGAGGCCTACCTGGTTCAGGGAAATCTACACTTGCTCGGTAAGTAAAGACTTAAAGCTTGAGAAATTTATTCAAGTCAAAATTTGTAAGAAATAAAAAATGTCTGTAATCACTTAGAAAACAATTCTTGTTTGTAAATTAGGCTTATTTAAATGCAGTAATGTACTATTTACTGTCGTTTGTACTTCGTGAATACAAATCACAGAAAACATTGAAAAGATTTGCTTGGGGTTTTTGTCCCCTTTAGAATTTTGATGAACAGGAGCTATGCTGTGTTAAGATGTTGTGTACCCATTACATGGCATAATCTGTTATTCTGAAACTTTCAGGTGTACCAGTATGTGATGGTCTGCCAATTTTTTTTTCTTTTCATTCTCAAGTTCCTTCATTTAAAAAATAAAATCATCAATCAAATCTAACAGCATTAACTTGACTGAGCCAGAAGTACATTCTTGTGCCTATGCAAAAATTTTCAAAGACCATTAGAAGAATTCTGCTACTCAGAAAGTGCTTCTTTTCAGTGTGTTGATGAAACTGAGCATCATCTCACCCCCTTTTTTCATAGTGTGGCCTGTCAACTGCTCTGTTTATTTGTGAACAACACACAATAAGAATATTCTTTGTTCTTAAAATATGCTTGTTGAAGTCTGAGAGGGTTAAAAGCAGGTACCACCTCTAACTTGGATTTTCACTTTGAGTTTTTTTGGCCTAGTTTAAAAAGCACAGAAAGTTGACGGAGCAACACAGAGACTACCTGTATTAAGTGAAAATAAGTTTCTCTTTTGTAAAAAAACCCTTCAGGTTGCTAAGTCAGCACTTATTGATGGAGTTTCATCCAACAACTTCATCCAACAACATCACAACTTTTGTGGTTGTCCTCTGTTCTATGCTAGGAGTCTGTGAAACAGATAGTGATCGTGTTCTTCCTTGTCTTTTGTATACATGAGTAACATTCGCTTTGTGGGGTTATTCCTGATATTTAGCAGACAGTGATCTCCATATCATAGCTAGAAATCTCTAATAGGTGTCTTTCTTATGTGATTACAGTGTTTTCTAAACCTGCGTTTTTGAAGCTGCATGTGCCCAGGTCGGTATTATTGCAATAATTCCTTTAATAATAAAAACAGATAGAAAATTTAAAAATTAACCCTGTGGAAAAAGTGCTGCCTCATTCAGTGCAGGGATTGGATAACATCAAGTATTTTGTTCTTCATGTTTGGTGTGCTGAATTGTCTGTGAATCTCCAAATATATAACTCATTGTCTGAAAAATTCTAAGTATCTTCACGTTTTTGTGAACACATTTGTGCTTGTTTTTCACTTCTTACTAGTGAGATAAATGACTGATTTTATTTAACAGATAGGAAAGGGGGCACTAGGAGATCAAGGTCAAGAATTGAGACCAAAGTTGGGTGCAGAATTTGAACCCTGTAGGACTTGTTTTTCAGTGTATTCAATTACATGCTGTTTCATATGTTCAGTGCTTGGTTGCAGTTGTTAATTCCAGTGCAATCATGTCTCAGGGTCTTAGGAATCTTGGGGAAAAAAATTCCCAGAATTAATGGCTGCCTGTGGGGAAAATACATGTATTATCAGTTAAGTCTTATGTTTTTCTATGTAACATCACAGAATTCTGCAGTGTAGACTAGGACAGCAGTTATGTCATCTGCTCATCTGGTGTCGTATTAGTACCCACAGGTGTCTTTGCAGGCTTTGCATCTCTAGCACCTGCAGACAAACCTCTACCACTTGTGCTAGCAAGTGACTGTGAAGGAAAAGCAGAAAAGTGGCATAATCTGTGTGGATCAGCACTGCAAGGGAATGAGATGCAGATTGCAAGTGGGTTTCCCAGGTATCAAATGGCATCAGAGCCAGTAGTGAGACCTAGGAACCTCTAATACCGATTTGTGTTTTGTGCCAAGTAAGGTTTCTGTAGTATAGACACTTTCTTCCTGTGCACAAACTTGACCCATGTCTGTCCTTAATCTCCCGCTGACGTCTGTGTCTTGTTTTGACTCTTCCATTCCAACTGCTAGTGCAGGTCAACTAGTCCATCGTTCTGCTTGATGCGCCACCATTGGATCAGGTCAGGTGTGTCTTTATCAGGTGTGGTCTTGAAAAATCCACAGAGGTTCTACAGTGTCTCCAAACCTTTCTAGTGCAGTACAACCCTCCCAGTAAGGAAATTCTTCCTAATCTTCAAACTGAAGTTCGCAAGCCATAATTTTCATGTGTTCTCTTGTGTAATGACATGTGCTGTTACATGGTAGAATCTGGCTCACCTTCACAGCTTCCCTTCTGGTAAGGAATAGGCTTATTCACTGTAATAGGTTGATATCAGGCCTTTTACTGTGTCCAATGACTGACTAAAGAAGCCCAGCAGCTATTAACCTCTCCTTGTAGGCAGTGTGCCCTCAGCCATCTTGGTTGCCTTTTCAGCCTTGGTTCAGCTCTTTCATGGTTTTCAGCATGTATTTTGAACTGGGAAGCCCCATACTGTACACAGTATTTCAGAATTGACTGCACATGGGCCAGGTAGAGTGTGGATGGTACCCTCATGGATGACCTACTCACCATGTTTTCTCCACTAGCCCAGACTGGTTTGCCTCTCTTTGATGAGGGCACACCATTAACTTGTCTCCAGTTTGATGTCCACTTGAATCCTCAGATCCTTTTCAACAGAGCTGCTCAACCAGTCACTTTCCCTCCTGTGCTGATGTTTAGGTTTTTATTTCATCAGTTGCAGAACTTTGCTCATTTCCTTGTTGAGCTTTGTGATGTTTTGCTGAGCCCAGTTCTCAAGTTTCCCAGTGGCCTTCTGGATGGAAGCCCTGCTCTTCAGTTTCTTGAGCATCACTGATAATTTGGTGTCATCTGCAAGTTCTCTGCCTCATCATCCAGGTTAATGATGGAGATACTGAAAAGCTTGGTCTCATTACCATCCTGTGCTGTACTCTGCTTGTTACCGCCTGGGAGATGATGCCAGAAGTTTTCATACCTTACAGGAATGCTACATTCATCACTCCATTCTCATCAACAAAAGCAGCTGTTCATCAGAGAGTACTTTCTGGTCAGTGAGGAATGGTTTGTTTGTTGCAACACCCACACTGACTCCTGTTGGTTACTTTAATTTCCTTAACATATTTGGAAATAGATTCTGAGTGGATGCACTCCGTAGTCTTTCCGGAATGGAGGTTAGGTGAGGTTGAGCAGCCTTTAGTTTCTTGGGTCTTCACTTGTCTTAAACATGAGCATAACATTCGTGGTTTCTGGGTCCTTGGGGAGCTCCTCTCATCTCATTGATTTATTTCCTGCGTTCACTTGGCCTAAACAATCCTAACTTCCTGAGGCTCATTTGGATCCCTGTTTCTTAACCATTTAATGCCAGTTTTGTTTTCCTGTTCCTATACAGCAATGGCATTTGGTCTGTGCTCACTAGCTCAACATCTGCTTCTAAATCCTAAGCTAATGTGTCAGTTTCTTCTTCATCCTCTTTGTTCCCAGATTCATTTTGTCCCTGTTTCAGCCTGGGGTCTTATCTCATTCCCGACTTCATTGTAACAGCATCTTCCCCATGCTTCACTCTTTGCCTTTTTCCTATTTCCTAGCTCTGATGTCAGTACGAAGTTACTTGTTCCAGTGTTTATACCACTATGGTTTCCATGTCTTTTCTATTTTAGGGCCAATGTTGTGTTGGGAGAAGTGTGTTCTTGCAATGCAGTACTGGTAGTGAATCAGCTTCCTGCCACTGCCAGGTTGCTCTGTTCAGGATTGGGTTTGCTGCAGTGAAAATCTTCGCGTTTTTTGCTCTACTTTGTACAAAAGTTAGTCCTTTTCACTGTTATTTTCTGTGCACATGGCAGTTGTATACCTTGGGGAGATTTCCAAAAAGGTTTTGTAGGGCAAACAAATGCATGTACTTTGCCAGATTTCACTTCCCCAATCCAAAGCTGCTCAGAGAAAAGCTTGTAATAACAAAGCATGATAAAAATGCTGTGTTTCTTCCATAGTTTTGGAAGTGATTGGCCACTTAGTTAGAAATTTTTGAGAACAGTTTGGCCAGACAGATACACAGCAGTGACACCTTTAGCCCAAGCAACAACAGTGCTACAGTTAGAAATAGATGATAATGTGATCTTACAATGCTGGGAAAAGTTAGAGGAAAAGAGACTAGTATTTTTAGAATATGTTGCAGCTGAACTTGGCAGCAGTTGCAATCTGCCATTCCTCCACAAATATCCGAGCATTAATTTGAATAAAAAGGAGCTTACTGAAGTTGAAAGAACAAATATTGGTGTAATTTAAGTATATTTTTAATTAAGTCCAGGAATATATCAAGACAGTTGTCTTTATCTGGGGCCATTCTTCTTGAGCAAAATCTTCTGAACAGCAGAGTTGGAGTTAGTATTTGTAGGTGCCTGCAGAAACAGTAATGTGCTGTTGTTCTTAATTATGTATTTCTTTTCACAGTGTTACAAGCAATGCTTTTAAAGTAGCATTTACATAGCTTAGTAATACTGCAGGTTTTGAAACAATATTTAGTACTTGCCTATGTTTTTCCTCATCCATTATATGTTAGCTATTTTAGGTAGGTGAATTATAAGATTCTAAGAGTTCTATGTTATAAAATCATTTATCAAAGTAGGCTACCCAGGATGCAGGTTTGAGGACCATTTTAGTTTTGAAGAAAAAAATAAGGCAGGATTTGTGTGTGTGTGCACACATGTGCACTGGAAAAAATGTGTATTGGTTTTCTGACTAGTTAAAATAAGCATTTTGGTTTCAGCTTGTGTTTTGTATGTCAGGCCAATAGCTTCTCTATTGTATAAGATAGCATGTCTGGAAAAAGCAGGTGAGCTTCTTTGATTCTAATATCTGCTTTAATTTCGCTGCCCTGCTATGTTGAGAGGTGAGTGTTCACTTGCAGGGAAGGTTTAGGGTGAAAAACTGCATTACAACAGTTGGATAATACTCTACTCATTTCAAGCACGTGCACATATTGATGGTGACTAATCTGTAATTTGACACTCTCATCAGAAATATATTTGTCTTACTATTTTTCTTTCTCCTCTTAAAAGTGGAATATTATCTCTCTGAGGGTTTAGATAGTAATGATGCTTTATTTGCATAGCTATGCTTTTTGTTCTGTTGCCTAGCTCGTGAGCCTGGGATAAATTTTATTTCTAAATATGTATTCGAAGTATGTAAATTATTCCATATGATGTCAACAAGTAAGTTTATTTAAATTTTACAAGTTTAAGTACTATGAATTCTGAAAGAGGTAATTGTCAGGCTTTTAAAATGTTGTATATTATGATTTAATTTCACAATTTAGAAACAGGCTACGATCATTGTTGTAATACTTGGTTTCAGTGGATAAACTCATTACTTTGTGATAGCTTGTGTGTTGTGTATAGGGTAAGGCTTCTGTTACTCTGACCTCTTTGTAGTCACTTTGCCTTCTCATATACTCTAGTTTTAGGATTATTATTTCAAACATAGTTGACTATATTAAATCTCCTGTATAGGTTCATTAATAATTGTGTATCCTGAACTTCAAGGAATATTAACCAAATGTTTCCAGAATAAACTTTGATGGGTTTGCAAGATACTTGAACCCTTGCAATTCTATTTCTTGATTTCTGCTAGTGATGTTTGGAAGATACAACGAAAGAATTTGAGTAAGGGAATTATTCTCCAGAACACTGAGCAGAGTCAGTTCTTAGAATTAAAAATAGAATTTAATGTCCCACTGGTATTGATTCAAAAGTTCATATATATTCCTGTAGGAACTGTAGGGGTGTGTCTGTCTACTCAGCTCTCCTTTTTTTTTATTGAGGCAGATGGTTAAGCTGTGTTTGTATACATTCAGCACACAAAAAAAAGAGTATAGAAGATGGATCTGGATTTTCTGGCATTGCTCCATTCACAAATGTAGCACGCTGTAAATAAGAAAATTGGGCCATGTGTGAAATTGTGGCCAAGTAACTTAATGAATATAAATTCCTGTTAAATATTTTGTACAAGAGAGGAATAGATATAAAAATTGCTGCTGTGTGTGGTGTATGACTTACTGGTGCCATTTGATCTACTTAAAACAAAAATAGGTGATGAATCCTTCTGTGCTCTTCTAAACCAGTGTGATACACATCCTATTAAAAGACATAGGCTCTAACAAAAATAATTATCTATCAGTGTTCAAAAAAAGTGGCTGTGCTTTTAGTGTATCATGCTCTGCTTTCTCAAATAGCATTACTATTTGTCCTGAAGTAACTTTAATACTCTGGAAAAGGGAGAAAGATCAAAGAGAAAATAACAGTTTGTAGGCAGCTTTGGTCACATCACTTGACACTGTGCCATTAGTAGTTTCTTCTGGTCCTTAGTTGTCTGAATTTTGTTGTACATATCTCTGTATGTTAAAAGCAAAAATGA